GGCCCCAGCTATGCCAGAAAACCACCTAGCTCTCTTTCCCACCCCACAGATAGCCTGGCTTGCCCCAGACATGATTCATTTCTCCAGTAGATCCTGTCTCTGCCTCCATATGTTATCACAGATTTTGAGGCTTGCAAAGCACCTTTTATACCTGGATTATCTAGATTCGGGCACTAGCTATCTTTGTGGCTTAGCTGAGTGTAAGGCAACAAGAGATGTCCAAGCTGGGAGCTTGGGTGAGTGTGTGGGCATCTGGGGGCATTTTGAGGTCATTTGGCCTCAACCTGTGGAAGGAAAACTGCCCAAAACTGGAATAAGTCACCTGCTTTGCTGACACAGATATGATGCATTGCTCATCTCAGAGCTGCTGATCTGATGTTGCTCTGAGCTGTCATCATCTGCGACAGCAACAGCAATCAAATGAAAGGAAGCACCAACAGGAGAACAAAATGATTTTTGTCTGGTGGGCAGCCTGACAGTGATCCCAAGGAAATCAGTCCTCCACAGCTCCAGACAGGAGCAACTGGAATTACTGAAAGTACCAGGAGCACACCAATGAGCCTCATGCAGGGAGCTGGCCCTCTCATCCCAGCCAGCAGGGTGGGCACAGCCACAGGTCTTTCCAGGCTGGCCTTGGGTCAAAAGCCTCTCTAGAGCTGGTGAGGACTGTATTGCCTCTGTGGACTTCCCCAGAGATATTAAAAGCTGGGCACAATCCTGAGTAATGTGTTCTAGGGACCCTGCCTGAGCAGGTCTCCAGTGATGGTCTTCAGTGGTCCTTCCAACCTTAATTCTGGGATTTTATGACTGTGTCCTGGTCTGGAGAAGGCAAGTGCTTGGACATGGAGGGTAAGCCATAAAAACATCCAAGATCTGGCTAATCTCTCTTCCTGCAAAATCAAAGTATCCCAGTGGAGGAGGAAAATCCTCCTGTGGTATGAGGACCAAACCTTGTGTTCATTAAGCTGAAAGAAAGTCTCTGCCTTGTTGATCCCAGAGCAATATTGCCTTCAGGCAGGCACCACTGGGCAGATGATGGAGAACAAGGATTGTGAAGGATGCAGTTAATGGCTCTAGAGCATGATAGGCACACTTTATATCCTCATTGTCTTTGCTGTGGAAATGTCCCCAAAGCTTGGCTAATGAAAATGTCAGCTCTGCCCTTGTACTGAGGAGTGAAAACAAAAGCTGGAATGTGCTATCAGGACTCGGTTTTAGTCATGGATTAGTCTCTGCTGTGGCAGACATTGCTATCCAGGCAAAAATCAGATTAAACCCGTGAATCCAATTTTCCTGAAGTATCTTATGGGCAATGTTTATGCTTGTTCATTTCAATGCAAATGTGATCTAGGACCACACTTGTGGCTTGGAAAAGAGGGAGAAGACGTGCTAGCAAAGTAATCACTAGTAGACCCTCTGGATTTCCGTAACTCCCTGAAAGGAGGGGCCAGCTAGGTAGGGGTCAGGCTGTGCTCCCCGGGAACAAGGGACAGGATGAGAGGGAATGGCCTCTAGCTGTTCCAGGAGAGGTTTAGGTTGGGTACTGGGAAAAGGTTTTTCACAGGAAGTGTGGTCTAGCTTTGGAAGCGGCATTCAGGGAAGTGGTAGAGTCCCCACTTCTGGAAGCGTTCAATAGTCATGTGAATGTGACACCTGGGGGCAAGGGTTGGTGGTAAACAGGATTGCTCTGGGTTAGTGAACTCACTGATCTTAGAGGACTTTTCCAACCTTAACAATCCTGAGATTCTCTGACACTGCTAATGTGTGAACCTCTATGGAATTCAAAGGGATGAGTGCCTATTTTTTGTTGATTGTGGTGAGTTACCTGGACAAGGATGCTCAGCTCATGTTTGCAGGGTGACACTGTGTTTACTTTGTGTACATGAGACCAAAATGTGGTCTTGGAAAGCAATCCCCCACCAAGGGCCTTTGCATCTAGATGCAATCAGCAGGAGAGGATAAACTCAAAAATAACTAACTCAAAAATATAATGTCATGCTTTGAGCTGTTATTTGTTTGCCAGGGCTTTCTGGGGCTTACCAGCACCCTGTTTAGTGAGGACTGGCTCTTTGTTTTGCAGACTGGCTTGGTTATGCTAGCAGTGTGATTTGATAACTGCTAATAAGCATAGGATTGCTGAAGTATTCCCCAAAGTCTTTGCTTTGCTGTAAAAATCCTCATCAGCAATTGGATTAGTTGAAGAGAATGAACAATTACTACATAGGGTAATGTGTTATGTTAAGACAAATTGATGGGTTTTATTTAATCATATGGTCTCGGTCACATCTTGATGGTGTTATTCCTATGAAGGGAAATGCATCACTGCACTAGTAGGTACTAGCAAAAATACTGAGAAATGCTTTATTTAATTATTTCCTAAAGATAAGGCAAATTTACTCTGTACCAAAACAAAATGAGCTAGGCTTTTGCTTTCAGATATGTTAGCTCTGTGTATCTTCCTGCACACATACCACAGATAAAATTTTAGTGTTCTAGACCCTGGGAAAGTGTAGGACCGAGTTCCTCCCAAGGACTGTCTTTGTACGAGAAGCAAAATCCAAACAAAAAACATGACCAGTTGATCTGCCCACCTGATACTCTCTAGTTCACCATGGCTCTGGCATCAAAGGCCCTCCAGACATTCAACTGAATCAGATTAAGGGTTTGCAAGACTCAGTAAAAGCTGGAAATCGCTGGCTGAGGTTACACCAGGCATTGAGAGACAAGAGAGTCACAGGAGATGAGAGACAGGCTTTCCCTGCTTTACTTATGTGCTAGAGAATGTGTCCCAGGAAATGTGGGGGAGGATCACTGCGTTTCACTGTCTTGTATAGCCCTAAGACATTTCTGTCTGAAACACAGCTGAACCACAATGTGGTGGCACAGGTTGGTGTGTGCAGAGGGTTTAGCACTTTTACCTGCTCTCACACCTTGTCTTCAGGCCTTGTGAAGGTCACCTGGGGGTGCACAATGGCTCACCCATGACCTGCTGCAGCAATTCTCCACTGGGAGAATTCCACATGGCATCAGAGGTTAAGCAATTCACCACGAGTTCGCTGGCAAGTACCAAGCACACACACAGCAGTCAGGAGGCTTCTCCTCACAATTCCTTACAGCAATGGGCCAGGGAAGTGCAGGATTCCCACTTCATTACTCATTCTTGGTGGTGAATTTGGGCCAGCCCATCAGCAACCAATACAACCTGCAGGGGAACAGGGTATATGAATGGCTCTTTGGCCTGGGTTTGCAGCTCTGTCATTGAGGAACAGCAGGTTTGATCCCACTACCTCTGATTTTAATTAATATCGTGGTTGAATCATGCTGTTATCTGACAGCAGGGGAAATTATCACCTCGAGAAGCACTGCTGTGGGTGGCACATACTGTGTAACCTGCTCTCTCTCAGAGGGGCACTGTGGAGGATTAGTTTGTATTTAAAAGATGCTGTGTGTAATTATGCACAGTTTTGCAAACCATCCATTTCTGATAGGCCCTCTCCTGTTGTTTCTCCTGGCATCTGGCTTGCTTAGGACTCCCTGAGCAGCTGTGATAGACTGGCCCTGCCTGCCAGGGAGATGTGAGCAGAAGGGATATAGGTGAAGAAGGCTTGATGTACATGCTTGTGCTTTGGATGACATAGTGTCTCTTGGTACTGTTGTTCTGGGATGTTTTGTACCATTCACAAAGATTAAAACAGAAAGAGGAAGGCAGGGTGTTTAAAACAATGTAAAAGGGCAGGTGTCCCATCCTGGGGCTGATCCTCAGCAAAGAGGCATCTCTAATAACCTCACTCGAGTTCCATCCTTCATCTCTGAGTTGACTCCTTCCCTGGTTTAAGAGCCAAAAGTTTTGCATGATGCCTGTAAATGCTCAAGGAATGTAGGAATTAACACGCCTGTCTGGGCCAAGGGCCCATCCAAGCAAGGATCTTGAGCAAGGTGCAAGCCAGTGCCAGATGTTTTGCAAAACGCCTCCACTATGGATATCTTTCACACCTCATTTCTCCCTCATTCCCATCAGCTTCATGACTGGTCTCACAGCAGTCCATGTTGTGTTTCCAGCAGCTGGTCTCTCCCTGCATGCAGCTCGTGAGGACAGGTTGTGGAAGGATCTCAGCAGACACACAGGGCCTTCATCCCCTTGCTCTCAGAGGTGGAAGTTGTCTCATTCATGTCCTGAAGTCAGTGTGAGGCAATTTTTTAGAGCAGAGATTACTTCCTTGCCTATGAGACATTTTTAGAGAGGCAAAGAAATGACTTGCAGTCAAAGTCTTCAATTCAGGGAAAACATTAAAAACTTAAGTGAGATAATATCCAAAACCCAAATATATTAGAAAACAGGGTTTATTGTTTATTTTCTCTTCTTGAGTGTTGAGTTTATATCACAGAATGGTTTGGATTGGAAAGGACCTTTAAAGGTCATCTAGTCCAACCCCACTGTCATGGGCAGGGACAGCTCTCACTAGACAAAGTTGCTCTAAACCTCATCTAACCTGGCCTCGAACACTTCCAAGGATAGTGCATCCACATCTTTTTTGGCCAACCTGAGACAGGGCCTCACCACCCTCAGCACAAAAAAAATCTGATTTTAGTCTGGATCTCCTCTCTTCTAGTTTAAGACTATCACTCCTTTTTCTATCTCCAAAGGCTTTATTCAGACTTTTGTTATTTTTCTGTTTAAGATAGGAAAGCCAAAACAAGCTCGAAGCAGTTTTCATCAGTACACACTTCAGCTTGGAGCCAAAAACAGACTTTGAACCCAAATGTATGTTTTGGCTCCAATATTTTCTTGGAGGAGAAATAGCATTAGTCAAAATCAGCACTTTTCTTCTTGTAATCAGCTTTAACCGACTTGTTCTCTTTTATTTGTATTTTTTATAAACCTTCTAGAAGTGGAGAGTAACACCCATTTGCCCAACCCTTGCCCTTGGGTGGGCGACCACAGGGCCGCTCTGCCCTGGCCGCTGCCGGCTCTCCGTGACCGCTGTGCTCTTCTCTTCCAGGTGCTCCCTTTCAAAGGTCTCAGCATCCCCATGCTACCTCCTGCCGGCATTTCCACCTGGGTCCCCAGCCTCAGCTCTCCGCCGACTTCGCCCTGCCTCACGCGGTGCAGCCGCAGCCGGGGCTGGCTCCCCACATGGCCCCGGCGCACCAGCACAGCGGCCCCCTGCACCAGCCCCTGGCGCCCGTGCCTGCCCTGCCCTTCCAGGACGTCGCCGGGCCCTCCTTCCTACCTCAGGCGCTACACCAGCAATACCTCCTCCAGCAGCAGCTCCTCGAGGCACAGCACCGCCGGCTCATGCCCCATCCCAGGTAAGGGGATCCGGATCCCGCTCTTCCCAAAGGATGTGGAGGAGCCGCGCCAGCCTCATGCCACCTGTGGAACTGCAGCTGGCACTGTTGGGTTTTCTTCCTGAGCTCACCTGCGTGTGCTGAAAATGCATCCAGCGGGAGGGAGGCTGCACCTGAAGGTGTCCCCTTCTGTGAGGTTAAAACGTTGGTGTTTTAGGCACTAGTTTGTTGGGTTGTTTTTTTTTAATGAGTTAAGTAGCTAATAGTTTTTAAAAGGTTGTTTATTGCAGAAATATATTAGTTTCAAAGACAAAAGTTTCAGACGCTAAAGTTTATGCTAAGTTTTGGTATAGAGTTTTACACCCTTCCTGTGGGGATTCCTACTGTGCTTATCCAGAGTGCCCCGTTATTGTCACTCTCAGAGAATCACGATGGTGCTGCCGGGGACCTTTGCTGTCTCTGCGTGCGTGAGCTACATCCTTGTAGCTGCTGTTTCAAAACCATGCAAGAGGTTGTGCCCAGCTGTCTCATCAGGTTATGCACATGGAGGTCTTGCTGCTCAGGGTTTGGTAGGCTTTCCATCTCTGTGAGGGAATGATGCCACTGACCTGCAGCACACTCTGTCACAGAGAGCATCCTAAATCCACACTGAGCTGACAAATGCAGAGAGAATTGCTGTAACTCAGCAGAGACGGAAAAGGATGCCTGCCCTCATCTTGATTGTGTTTCTTGAGAGAGGAGTGATTTTTTTGGAAACATATGGAAGCTATTTGTGGGTTGTACCCATGGATCAAGAATCAGAGGATGAGACTTTGCAATGATGCTTCATTTGGAAAGAATGCTATGGATAGAAAACCCTTTATTTCCATGTCCTTTCCATCTGAAAATCGTGTGTTCTTCTCATCATTGTTTTTATTTTGCATAAGCTGGATTTTAGGTGGATTTAATGATTAGCTAATAATTGGGTAGCAAGTATGTTCCAGGCTGAGAAACCGATGATACAAGTGTTTATCTCTTAGTCATAAGCTGAATTCAAACAAAAGCACAGAGCACAATTCCACGCAGAATCTGCTTTGGCAAACCCTGTCAGTGTATTTGCAAGTGGGCTGTGGTGTGGAAGAAGGCAGGAACCTCTTGCCCAGTCCCAGTGTTTGTCTCTGAAAGCTGCAACGGAGCAGGATGTCAGAACCCTTACAGGTGTGGGGCAGGAGGTCCCAGTAATGAGAATATGGGTTATGCCTTTGAGAGTGAAGCCTCTGAACTGAGGCTGCATGAAAAGTTATTTACCTGGCAGTTCCCTGCTCCATTTGCTCTAGTTCTTTCCTGAAGATTTTCTTTGTGATGGTTCCACTGGTAAGTGGTAACTTGTCAGGAAGCAAAGGGTAGGAGTCTGTAATGCAAATCCTGCTCATGCATCCACCTTGTCTCTTGCCAAATGAGGACACCGATCCAGCAGCACACGCTCTTCCCCTGAGTAGTTCAAATAAGCAATAATCATGAGACTCAAATTCCTAGAAAAACCATGCTGTATTTTCTAGCACTTTCTTTTTCCTGCCTGCAATGGCAGCAGAGCAGAGGGAGAAGGACCTGGAACCCAGCCTGGCCTGTCCATCATCCAAAGAAATGTTGGCAAAGGCCAGTGAGAGTAAATTCTACTTTCAGTCACTCGTGAGTAATCTGGTTATGAATGAGGCTCCCCAGGAGTTTATGGACTGCAGGAGAGACGAGACAACCTGCAGCTTCTTTATGATGATAGATCACGGATATGATGAAGCAGGGTCACATTTTACCTTGTGTGTTGTTTATGGGGCTGACTGTAGCAAAAAAAAAGGAAATAGTGCCAACTGCACAAAGCTGCTGAGAAGTTGTTTGGTTTCTCCTTTTTCTCTGCATGTTGCCAGCAAATAACATCTCCTGCAAACTGAGCATATGTGACTGCCACAGGGCCTGAGAGTAGATTGCTACGTGATGGCTGTGGGGGAATGACAGCCCTGTGTTCCTCTTCCCATCATCCCTTACACCTGCCTGGAGTGCTTAGCTTTGAACACTTGACCTCAAGCCCAGCCTCTGGGGTTTTTCAATGGGTTCTTGACAGGAATTCCAGTGCCTACTGGTGTCTGACCCTCCCTGTTGCTGCTCTGCTCCCTGCAGGCGGGCCCAAGAGCGCATGTCTGTCCAGCCTCACCGCCTACACCCCAGCTTTGACTTCAGCCACCAACTGCAGACTCCACAACCCATGGGGCCCCAGCCCAGGTATTTGGCAGAGGGCACGGACTGGTAAGTGATCCCCATTTTGCTGTTGCATCCGTAGATGTGTTTAAAAAGCCTGGGAAGGCTGCGAATTTTGGGGAATGCCATCAGGGATCAGGGCTTTGATGAAAGCTAATGAGTCAGCTCAGCAGGTACAATGTGGGGAGTATGCAATGGGAAAACTTGTCTCTGAGAGGTCCATGAGAATGTGAAAGCCTCCTATAGAAATGTATCATTGAATCATTTGGACTGGAAAAGCCTTCCATGAAGACCGACCATTCCCCAGCACAGCCAAGGCTGCCATTGACCCACGTCCCCAAGTGTCACATCCATATGGCTTTTAAATCTCTTCAGAAATGGGGACTCCACCACTGCCCTGGGCAGCTGTGCCTGGGCTGGACAGCTCCTTGGGTGAAGAAATGTTCCCCAATATCCAATCTTAACTTCTCCTGGCACAGCTTGAGGCCGTTCCCTCTCCTCCTGTCCCTGTTTCCTGGGAGCAGAGCCCAAAGCCCCCGGCTGACCCCTCCTGTCAGGGAGTTGTGCAGAGCCACAAGGCCCCTCCTGAGCCTCCTTTTCTCCAGGCTGAGCCCCTTTCCCAGAGCCCTGAGTTGCTCCTCAGTAGGCTTGTGCTCCAGAGCCTTCCCCAGCTCCATTGCCTCCCTTTAGGCACGCTCCATTGTTGTTGCTCATAACATTTCACCTACAGATTTAGAGTCAAACCAAGCATTAATTCTCCCAAGTTGCTCTTTGTGCTATAGGGCGCAGAGAGGGATTTTTTTCCTGTAGACCACCGAACTTTGTACCTTTGCTGTCCTTCAGGCACTCAAAACCCCATAGCCATAATACTTCTGTGGTCCAAATTTGGGAGCACCATGCTACCCTGCCATGCAGGATGGTATGAATGGAGATTTGTTCATCATTCTCCAACTCTAGTGTTCAATACCCTGGAAAAGCTTTGCAGGAAATTGTTCATTTCATTTTCAGAGTAGGTTGAGAGCTCTTGAACAGTAAATAAAGTATGGTAACCTGGCCAAAAGAATGAGAAAATAAAAACATCCTTCCGAGTAGCTGCTTGTAAGCTGAGTAAAGTCCATTCTGTGCACTGAATGGAAAAAATAGCATGTGAACTTGTAATTAAAGACAATCGCAATGTATTTGCACAAGGGGACTGAAATAAAATGGCACAGGAAGTCTTAATGATGGCATTTCCTAACATCTGAGCACTCCAGTCTGCAAATGAAAAGTCCTTTTAACCCAGAGTCGTTGCTTTTTTTCCCCCCTTCAGTGCATAATACACAATCTAAAATATGACCACATCCTTCTGCAATTTTCCTCTCAGGTGTTCCCATTATTGGCACTCCTGTGGGCTGAACGTGGTCGGGATGACATTGTTCAGATTGGTTTGCAAAGCAGTTCATGTACCATCTGGATAGAGTGATTCTTTCTGCCTCTCAGCTCAGAGGGCTTAATTATGATCATTAGAAGTATCTGATAAAGCATCACTAAGTGCCTTCCCCCTCCCTCCTTTTCTCCCCTCTGTTGCTCCATAGCCTTATAAAACCCTAGGAGTGGGGGTGACTGGAATCATACATGGTGAGCATATGTTTGAGTGACTCACTTTCCCTTGGGGCACACATACAGTTTTGACCAGTGACAAATACAAAAACTCCCCTCTGATGTGTTACCCCTGGATGAGCAGCAACAGCAGTGTTTTCTTAGAGGCTGTAGGTGGTGGGTGCTGTCACAGGAGGTGGAAGTGGGGATGGAAGAAAGATCTGAGGAATGACCAGTTGTCTCAGACTGATCACAACCCCAATTGGTTGGGGTTTATTTTATTTATTTATTTATCTACCTATTTATTTATTTATTTATTTATTTATTTTCTTCTTCTGGCGAAGAATAAATAAACTCCCATTTGGTTCCTTAAATCGTCTTCTGCACACACATGTAGTGATGACCATCCTACCTGTTTTCTGGTGTCTTGTCCTTCACTCCTTTGTTGTTGGCAGCTCATTTGCCACAAGCATCACAGCTCTTGAACCTCTCACCTGAGCATCAAGATGCTGTATAGTTGTTCATGTAGCATGGGCTAGAAAGTAATGATCAGTTCCATTCTCCTTCAGGAAGTGTGCTCTGCTTCTTCAGCCCCAAACCCTGGGAAAATACTGTTTCATGCTGTATTCTTCTTTGGACACATCTGTAGACCCAAAGCATCATTTCAGGAACCTCAACATTCTGGTTTTAAGTATCTAGATGCACAAACAGTTCAGTAGTCCTGTTATTGCAATTAGTCTTGCAATTTAATAATTGCCATTCACCTTTGAGAGATCTTTTCAGTCATTGATCTCAAAGCTCTCCATGAATTATCACATCTATTTCATAGACAGGGAATATGGGAAGGCAGAGAGGAAGTGGATCAAGGTCATCAAGAAAGTGGCAGGACTGGGAGTGGACCCAGTTGAGCCCTCCACCAGCCTGGGAACAACCTTAAGCAATTGGGTAAATATCCAAAATTGGGACACAGGAGCTGGAAAGTGCCAAGACCTGTGAATTCTTGCCCTGTTGTGTTCCTGCCAGTTGCCTGCTGTGCTTTATCCTCTGCCAGGTTTTGTCTGTCTAGCACATGGCTAACAGAGGGTCAGCAAAGGTAGTCTTTCTTCTGGCCTCAACTTAGAATCATAGAACTACAGAATATCCTGAGTTGCAAGGGACCCATGAGGATCATTGCATCCAGCTTGGTTCAGGTATTAGGGAGCTCTAGAGTACTGGTGGTGCTGCCTGGTGCACAGGCTGCTCTGGATGAAGGATTTCTGCATCTCAGGTCCCCTCAGGTTCCCATCTTCTGGTGGGTGAAAGCAGTTTCACAGGTGCTGGAGGACACATCTGGGCTGCTCCTAAGAAGCTGTGGTACAGTACACACTGCTGCTGTCCTCCATGCAGGGAGGAGAAGTTGGAGGCTGAAAAGGAAAGCCACCCTTGTGCTCTAATTAGCTTTGCTTTGGGAAATGTGAAGAAAATTGTTGTTAGAATGCTGGATTTTGTAATGATGATAAAGTGAACAATGTTCAAAGCAATCGTTTGCCAAGTGACCCTTAGGCTGGAGAGAACAGGGATCAGCTAATTGGATTAGAGACGGAGATGCTGCACTGGGTCCCCTCCCACTCCCTCCACACAGTGTGGCAGTGGTGGGGTTGTAGTTTGTGTGTTGGATTGAGCAGAGCTGTGATGTTTGATGGCATCTTGGTTATGACAAGTCTGGGGATTGAGCTGGATTAGTTTTCTGGAGAATAAAAGTGCCCGGATTCACCAAGCAGAGTTCCATCTGTGCTTGCCTGGGGCCTAGATATCTTCAGGCAAGCAGGGCCATCAGGGATGTCTTGCTCCATTGGTGTTGGCCCTCTGGTTTTGTGACACTCTTTCCTACAGCAGCCTCATCCAGACATTTCTTAAAACCTTTATATTTTTTGCATAAATCACAGTTCTGGAGTTCATAGAATCATAGAATTCCAGACTGGTTTGAGTTGAACAGAACCTCAAAGATCATCTTGTTCAAACCTCTGCCATGGGCAGGGACATCTTCCACTATCCCAGGTTGCTCCAATCTCTCTCCTGCCTGGCCTTGGGCACTTCCAGGGATGGGACAGCCACAGCATCTTTGAGCAGCCTGTGCCAGGGCCTCACACCTCAAACCCTCACTGCCTTGAGGCTGGATTCAGGCAAAGCACACTGTCCTTTAACTCCCCAAGTTCTGCCATGATCTGGGCTGGGAGACCTCCAAGAAGAGCACAGGCACATGGAAAAAGCCCACAGACAGTGCTCATCTAGCTTCTAAAAGCTACCAGAATGGTTCTTTTTTGAGTCCCTTGAGTAATTATCTATACTCCTGCAAAACATTCAAGGCAAACTGTAGTAGTTTGCAGCACTGGCAGCACAGGAAAGTCCTGGTCTGACCAGGTTGAGTTGCTGAGCCTGTGCATCCTTTTGAGCCACCAAAATACTCTTGCCCTGAAATTAGCAGGGTGCATGTGCACAGCTCTTGACCTCAAATAACTCAAATACTATCTGGCTTAGAAACAACCCCTCACTCCTTCATGGTGGCATAATGGGTGATTCCCCAAACTGGAGGAAACTCCCTTCCACGCCATACCACCTCCCCAGGCTGAGGAGTGCAGAGCAGCCCAGAGCTGAGCAGGGAGGTTTCCTTGTGAGCATGGTCTGGTTTGCTGCAGTCCACGAGCACAACCCCTCGCTCAGAGCCACGTGTTGCTCCTGGTGCCCACAGGGACCTCAGCGTGGATGCAGGGCTGACCCACGCCCAGTTCCAGGTCCGGCCGGTGCCCCAGCCCTATCAGCATTACTTGGCTACACCTCGGATGCACCATTTCCCCAGAAGCACATCCTCAACCCAGATGGTAAGTGAAACGCTTTTAACTGAGAAATGTTTTATGCATTGTCTGCCAGAAAGCAGTCAAAATAAAGGCTGCTATCTTTCTATCACCTGTCTTCTGCAAATCCCACTTATCTCCGGCCGTGGGAGGGAGTGTCTGAAAGGATAATGTTGCATCACTGCACTGGATTAGAGAAAGAAAAGAAAAGCTCAGCTGTTCTGGAAGGATTCGGTCCATCGCTTGCAGCACCACGTTCAGAAGCTGGTCTGAAAAACGTGGGCAGGATGTGAGAGACTCAGCAGTTAATATTAATAATATTATTAGTACTGGAAGGAACTGTGGTCTCCCAGGACTTTGTATGCAGAGGATTGGCAATGGGTGACTGCCTTCCCCGGTGTCAGCCCCGAGGCCCATCCCTCATCACATCATTGCTTTCTACATCAGCTTTGATGCCACCTGTAAAGGTTTTGCATGACCTCTTGCACAGGTGGAGGTGGGATTGGTGAGAAGACAGCCTGACTGGGGTAATTTTCTACCCCTCCTCCTAGCAGGGTGCTGTATTTGGAGCTAAGTCATGCCAAGCACTGCTAATCCTTAAAACGTCCTCAGAAATCCCACGAGGGTGCTTTTCCCTTGTGCCATAGTCAGACCCTGACACCTGTGTACTAAAGCTAGCCTTAAAAAAAACCCAAAACAATCATAGCTTGGATGAACAGAAATCTACCCATTTAAATGAAATAAAATTTAATTGTAATGTAATCCGTTCTGGGAGTTTGGAACCACGACGTTATAGATGATACAGGAATTATTATAACAGCTAGTTTATTTGGAAGAAATGCATGTTCTTAGGTATTATTATTTCCATAATTTAAAAGAAATGTATTTTATAAAACCTCATTTTTTTGTTATCAAAAGGCTTAAATTGGTGAAAGTATCAATCTACTCTTTCAATTTGAATTTTTAAAGCATTAGATATACACCAGGGCACACAAGGGTTTTCCGTAGACAAGTATAGGTGGCTTTATTTTTCTCCCTTGCTTCTTTCAGGTTGTTCATGAAATCAGAAATTACCCTTACCCTCAGCTTCAGCTGCTTGCTCTTCAGGGATTGAACCCAAGCAGGCACACATCCGCTGTGCGGGAGAGCTATGAAGTACGTATCTGGAGACTGGAATTATTATGTTTTAAAGTGCTGTGAGTTTATGCAAGCCCTGGTATAAAGTTATGACTGTTTTGTGGCATAGCAATTGCAGTGAGCCTTTCATCAATTTTAGTAATGACTGGGAAGTGATGGGGTTAAGTTTGGTAAAAGATGATTTACCCCAAAGTCCCTGGGTCTTGCTTGGGTTGGCTCTGGCTCCTTTCATGACTGTGAACAAAGTGCTCCAGATCTATAGGGTTTTGTTTCCCAGCCTGTCAGATGAAGCTCAAATCTCAGTCTAATTTGTGAAATATTGGATATCCAGCTCTTTGCTTCGAGCTCTTAGTTATTATCTCAAGTGCCAGGGATCAGATCCATCATTACAGCATGGCTGATTTGGGTTTGATGGACATGTCCACTGAGGAGAGGACAGGAGGGAGCCTCGGTTGCCACCAGGTATGGTTGTATGGGGGGACCTGGTGCCTTGGGAGCAGTGGGGATGGTGCTTTCCTGATGTTCCTGTGCTGCAGGAGCTGCTGCAGCTGGAGGACAGGCTGGGCAGCGTGAGCCGGGGCGCCGTCCAGAACACCATTGAGAGATTCACCTTCCCCCACAAGTACAAGAAGGTGAGTGCCCCAAAACACAGCACGGCTGCCAGCCCCTCTCAGCCAAGGGCTGCGGAACAGGCAGAAGGAAGGACTTTGGTGGCTCACAATCCTCAGGGCTGGCAAGCTGGCACCATCAACCAAACCATCTCCCGAGGAGGGGGAGGAATGTAAAACCCAGCAGCGGTGCTTGAACATCTTGCGGGACTCCCGGGGCGGAGCAGTGGCGTAGCTCAGCTGCCTGTTTCTCACTTCTAGGCTAGGAAGCTGCGGGCCAAATTTTCAAAAGGGTCTCAACCTTCTCCCACCCAGCGGGTGCAATTTCCCCCCTGTCTGCACCTGGTAAGAAAGTGCACACCACCAAGGGGGCTTTGTGCATGCAAACCCGCCCCGTTCTGCATGCAAGCGGCGCCCGCCGTGAGGGCTCCACGGCCTGGGGGACCTCGGCCTCCCCCAGATTCCTGCCCATGAGGAAATGGGTGGCACATTTTTTGGGTTTTGCTAAGTAGAAATTGGGAAGAGTGCTTGTCTGGGTAGTAATTTCTTGTGTTGGTCACTCCCGGCTGGAGGGTAGGGATGTTGCATTGCCCAGGTTGGAAGTGAGGTAATTCCTGCTGCGCTTGTCTCTCTTCGCATCTCCAGTGAACCCAGGAAAAGGCTATGAATAGGAATGGATGTGTGGGGAAAGAGAAAAAGGGTGAGCTGACAGGCTAAGTACTGCCCTGTGGTGCAGCATGGGGCTGGGCCAGTGGCCAAGCTGGCATGAGCACAGTGGTTGCCCTTCCTGGCAGTGGTGGCACTATGAGCTTTGGGGTCTCCCCAAGAAGAAACCTCCAGCAAAGGAGACCATGGGGCCATCCCCACTGCAAGGAGGTGGTGGAGGGCTGTATGAGGGCAGCAGAGGACAGGCTACTCCTTGGAGTACTGCCACCAGCCTCACTGCCACCAGCCCCAGGAGGAGACATGCCAATCTGCAGCATTTTGGTGGCACACTCATCTCACTGGCTGTTCTGGCTGGGCTGACTTTCCTGAGCTGGAGGATCTGGCTGATAGATGGAGATCTTATTATTTATCTTCTTGCAACTGCCCAGGTTTGGGAGAGCAGTAGAAAGGCAAGGTCTAACCAAATGATGTCTTTAACTTTGCTGCAGAGAAGACCACAGGAAGGCAAAGCTGAGCAAGACGATGGTGAGGAGTCAGATACCGACGAGAAATGCACAATCTGTCTGTCCATGCTTGAAGACGGAGAGGACGTCAGGTGAGATCCTTCCAGTCCCTCCTCTGCCTCTCAATGCCATCCGAGTTGTGTTATTTGGATTAATGCAGTTGTGCACTAGTGGAGTTGTCTCTGTTCTTGTCCTGAGAAACTCACCTGGGCTGTTGCATGGTCTGGGAACCCAAATGCTTTGCAGATGGATATTGGTATAGCCCATAGGCAGGAGGAGCCCTGCAGCAGCAGAGGGTCAAGTTTTTATAGCGTTTCCTGGGTTTGGATCATCTGCTTCCAGACTCTGCCAGCTGGCCAGGTGGCAAAGTGTCAGAGAAGGGTAGGTCAGACTGAACTCTGACAACCATCTGGAGCTTGGGGTCATCAACATCTGAGCCTGACAGATGACCAAAGTATGATAAAAACAGTGTTAGTGTGAAGTCCAGGAGAGTTGGGCTTGTGCCCAAGGCACAGCTGCTTTATTGTAAAGTAGGATTACTCTGCCCACATGGTCACAGAGAACCATCCCCAGCCAACAGAACTCCAAGGCTGTTGACTGGGTCAAATCTCAGCTTGTGAGATTTGTGAGCTTGTGAGAGAAGGATGGAGATAGGAAATTGCAAGGGGCTGAGCTCTCATGGNGGAGAGTTGGGCTTGTGCCCAAGGCACAGCTGCTTTATTGTAAAGTAGGATTACTCTGCCCACATGGTCACAGAGAACCATCCCCAGCCAACAGACATCCCAGGCTGTTGACTGGGTCAAATCTCAGCTTGTGAGATTTGTGAGCTTGTGAGAGAAGGATGGAGATAGGAAATTGCAAGGGGCTGAGCTCTCATGGCTGAAGGGACTGCAGGTGAGAAGTACCCAGGTCTGCTTCTCACCTTTGGATTGTCAAGAAAAGCTCCAATTCTTTTGCTGTGGGTTCTTGTGGTTCAAGGTTCCCCTGTAATCCAAGGGTGATATGTGATGATGGCAGAGGTGATGTAGGTAAAATATGACCAGGTTTCCTGGGCACATCCATGTAGGAACAGTGTGGACCCACCTGACTGTTAATGTGGCACAGCCATGAAGAGCTAAGAGGCTTTGGAGTATAACCTTTCTCCTGGAAGGTTAAATATTAGCAGCCAGCATAATTAATAACTCAATTCAGGATGGTGTGGGGGTTTCTAAAAGGCCAAGGAGGACACTGTCTCCAGCCCACTGCCCTGTGGGAACTGGTGTTGCTGGGAAAGACTGCAGGACCTTGGTGGCAGTGTTGTCACCACAGCAGTGTTTCCCATGTTCAGAACAGCCTCAGATGCTGTTATTCAGCTCTCTTTGGTCCCTTGGACTTCCTCCACCCTAACAGTGCTGTTTTTCTCTTTGCAGGCGGTTGCCCTGCATGCATCTCTTTCACCAAGTGTGTGTGGACCAGTGGCTGGCCACCAGCAAGAAGTGCCCGATCTGCAGGGTGGACATTGAAACACAGCTTGGCTCGGACAGCTGAAAAGACTAGCTGGACACACCATTTTCCTTACCAGGTCGTATGGCCATAAACCCTTGCAGCAAAATTTTTTGCCTTCTGAGCCATTTGATTGAGAGGGGAAGTCTGCAGGCACGTTAGTGAGGTGAAGGAGGTGGTGATACAATATCTAGCAGTAGGAGATGTTGCACATATATGCAGGATACAGGCCCAGTGAAAGGGAGCTGGCATTCCCGGAGCTCAGAGACCCCGTGCTGCAGAAGATTTTAGTGTTGAATATGAAGGAACTAGTTGTGGTAGTCCGGCCTGTCAATCCTGCTTTTCATGGGGATTGTATATATACCTCTCAAATATGTAGAAACATGTTAGGGGTCCTTTAGCTATTTCTATGGATGGCAGCTGGAGCATGTTAGCTTAAGAAATGTTGTGTTTGATGCCCTACTCATCTTGTGGTGGACATGTTGCTGTTACCTAATTTGCACCAAATATTTTTTCATAGATTCCTTATTTTGGTGCCTGATTAATACATTGCAGAGGGGGAATAAAGAGGTCAAACTTTCCCATCCTCTGGGTGGGAGAAAGAGGAGAAAAAGCAAAATCCTGTTTACAGTCAGAAGGGTTTGTGCTCTTTGCCTCAGCCGCGTGTGCTTCTTTCCCTGGCATTTACAGTGTGTTGCAAATTTAGAGAAGCTTAACAAAAATAAAAATTGGGGATAAAATGAACGAAGCAATAGGGAAAAGCTTCGTTCCTGCTTGTCTGCTGGTGCTGGACACTTTCTGTAGCAGCACAGTATTTGAGTAGATGCTGTTTCTTTGCTTTCTGTATTTTAACAAAGTAGCTTGTCATATCAAAATCCAAGGAAGTTCTGTCTATATGATTGCAATTGTCCGTGATGCTTTCTTCTGTGAGCTGTGCGGCTGGGCTGGCTTTGCCAGCACCACTCCAAAATGATGGTGATGGTTACGGGAGTCGGCGCCTACCGCTGTTCTTTGGGGTGTAATTACCCTCGAGAGAGGTGCGAAATGTCGACTCTTCTCCCGCGGCAAAAGCATCTCTCGGTAACGGGACGGAAGAAAACTCGATGCTCACAAGACACTGCTGAGACCACGAGCCTTTGGGCTCGGGAGGGGAAAGCAGGGCGGAGGTGGGGCTGCCGTGACCTGCCCCAGTTCAGGCTGTCTCCACCCGGAGTAATCAGCGGTTGTTAAAACGAAACTTAATCACATTAACACTCAAAGCAGAATTAAGAGGTGGTACCCTAAGGGGTGAGCTGTTGTGATCCATGCTCCCCCTGAAAAAAAGCACGTCAACCGCAGGGATTGGGTGGAAAATCCTCGGGAAAACCGACATTCACAACCAAAACCTGTAGTTTTCTTTTTTTTTTTTTTTCTTTCTTTCATACTAAGGGAGAAAGGAGCTGCAGAGGAGCAGCAGGGGAATTAGAAACATAATCTATTGAAAATGCTGGTGTGGTGGGAATGATTTCTGGCTCCCCTGAGCATCTGTTTCGCTGGAGAGAAATGCTCTCCCAAGTCGATTCAATCATAAACTATCATCTGAGAAACTGCAAGGTTCTCATGAGCTGTAACTGGAAAACACCAACCTCAGAGGCACACAGAGATTTCCTTTTTTTCCCAGTGAGAGAGGGGAGAGAAGGAGGGAAACCCCATGTGAGGGTGCATGAGCCTCTCTCATTGTGTGCCCATGCAGGTGGGAGGGAGTGGAAGCGGACAAATGGTGACATATAGAGAAGACATAAGGGAGAAATTCTTGGCTATGAGGATGGGGAAGCCCTGGCACAGGCTGCCCAGAGAACCCTGGAAGTGTTCAGGGATCACGACTGCAGTGACCTGGTGTAGTGGAAGGTGTCCCTGCCCATGGTGGGGGGGTTTGGAACAAGATGAGCTTTAAGGTCCCTCCCAAACCCAAACCCAAACCCAAACCCAAACCCAAACCCAAACCCAAACCCAAACCCAAACCCAAACCCAAACCCAAACCCAAACCCAAACCATTCCATGACTTTATAACACATTTGCCACCCAGCACAACTGACAGCTTCTTCGGGAATATGGTGGTCCCAGTCCTGATGTCCTTGGGTCAAGGAGTGGCCCATGGATACCTATGGGTCTCCATCAGCATTGAAGCAGCATTACAAATAATACTAATAATACTAATACCATGACAAGCAAAGCAAGGCTTTGGTGGTAAAATACACTCTGGGCAGGTTTGATCTGCCCAGGTGTGACCTGGAGGGGGGAAGCAGGGAGAGTAACAGGGGGGGATTGATACCCCCACTGGATGGGGAGGGAATGAAGAACGCTTCTGGATCGTTTGTTTTCTTTTAAAGCCTATGAGAAAGTGTTACTATTTGCCTAATAAACAAGCACAGTTTTTAAAAAAAAAATTTAAAAATCGATCAAGCTTAAAAAAAAAAAAAACACAAAAAACCAAACAAAACAAAAAAACAAACAAACCTTTGGTGAAGAAAAGCACCAAACTCCCATGGTCTTGTGAGAATGACTGATCCCAAGGTGTGTGCGAATTTACAGTGTCTGGAGTTGTATCGGTGTGTCAGGTTCCTTTGCGTTTAAATAATTTGTACAAGTAGGTTGCGAGTTAGGAGGAGTTTAAAAACAAATCAAAAAGAACATCAACAACAACAACAACAAAAGTCTAGAAACAAAACATCAATAGTTTACAGGGTTTTGTGAGTTTAAATGCCTTATATTTAACAATCATAATTTATGACTAACTTGTAGATATTGTGGGTTCTTATTTAATTATTTTTATAGTTGTTTTTTTGCATTTTTAATTATAATTTATTTATTTAGAAATTACTACTAATTTTTTTTATTACTCCTATTACCTCATTTTTGCATTGTTTCTGGGAATGGAATGCTTTGCATGCATCGGTACTTAAAATAAAATTAAACAGGGGATGTGGGGGGTAATGCTTATCTTGTCAAAAACAAAAAAACAAAAAAAAAAAAAAGAGAAAAAAATCAGGGTGTGTGATTACAAACTGTATTACTGTGGTGCTGTTACCTTGGATACATTCCATAAAAATGCAAACCTTTGATTCTGTATGCTGTGACATAGTGGAAAACTGCAATATAGTGACTGTGTTTAGCACATATATATGAATATTATTTGCACTCATAATCAAACTCTGGTGATCCTTTCACTTGTGTCCTTGCGCATTGAAGGCGGTTAACGATGCTCTGCATAAAACCAAAATGTTTTGGTTGTTTCCTGGTACTGCCCTGTCCCTGACGCCTCTGGTGATGCTGCTGCTGCTGCTTGTGTGACCCTGCAATAACACCCAGCAGGCCTCCGCTGCAAGACTGTGCTTGGAGCAATGCATGCCTTTACTGCAAGACTGCAAATTGTGTCAAAAGCCGAGGAAGGACGCCCAGGTGTGGTGGCTCTGTAATTTTTGGCGTATATCAGTGCTTGGTTTGGCTCTTTTCACCCTCTGTGTGTGCGCCCATCTGGGATGAAAGAGGCAGTAGGGTGAGCCTGAGCTTGGGGGCAACGTAACTGCAGGATTCAGTGCAGTTTTTAGGGGTTGACTTCTTTACTCAGAGGCTAGGAAGGCTCTGGCACAGGTTTCCCAGAGCAGCTGTGTCTGCTCCAACCCTGGCAGTGTCCAAGCCCAGGCTTGGAGCAGCCTGGGATAGTGGAAGGTGTCCCTGCCCGTGGTAGAGGTTGGAACGAGATGAGCTTTAAGGTCCCTTCCAGCCCGAACCATTCTGTGATCCTGTGACACCATGTCCAGCTGAGAGTGGTTGGGATGGACATGGGATCCATTTGCCATCTCTTTGCAACGCCTGCCACGAGCTCTGGCTGTAACCCAGCTCTGAGACATGCATGCAGCAGAAGTGCTTAATACTGATTTTGACCAGTTCGTTTCATCCCTCCTGTACAGGAGGGAAACTCAATTTGGAGATTTTTAATCCAGTGTAGAGCTGGGACCAGCCCCAGAGCCCTCCTGTCCCCAGGAAGGGGGTCAGCCCCAAACTAACATGGCCAAGCATCCCCATCCTGCCATGGCTGCTCTGCTCTTGCAATGTGTTGCCCTTTCCCTGAAGGCTCCTGAGTACCACGTGTTCCAGCTTTGCCAGAAGGTTAGAGAACCTTTGATAGCATTTTAAGCTTTAAGCCATAACCATGCTTGGTCAGTGCAGACATTCAGCCGTGTACAGACAGAAGTGGGGTTTGATGCATGTGCTCAGCCAGTAGCCATCCTCCCCACAAAAAGGCTTTGGATGAAATTCTCAGTTGGGTTAGAAAAGGCACAAAATCACAGTACCTTAATTCTTTTCTCTCTGTCCCTTCAGGGTGCTGCGCTGCTTTGTTGACTTTGCCTTACCCCGGGTTTTAAACCTGTCTGTGTTTTTTACCTTGCTGCTCTGTAACACTCCTCCCCTGTAGCCTGGAGCTGTGATTTTGAGCTGTGTGGGGACAGGGGGGTTGGTTGTCCTCCCCCTCAAAGTCACTTGCAAGAGGGATAAGCAAAACAAGGAGCAAGTAAACAAAACCCCCTCTCCTTTAATGACCCGGGCAGGTGAAAGGATCACCCACATTTTTGTATTCCTACTGCTGTTCTGTTGTGCTGTGCAACATTTTGCTACATAGACTATTTTATAGAAGAAAGCTAGAAAAATATTTATTATTAATATTAAAGCAATAGTGCATTGAAGAAATGGAAAGACATTAGAAATTGTGTAAATGCTTAGATTCACTTTTGGTGGATTTTTTGTACTTTATTTATAACTAATAAAACAAACTGCATTGCTAACTATAAACCTGTGCCACGCAGAAGCCACCTGGCAAGGGAGATCACTTGGTCTTTATTTTCTGCTCATTTCGTGTTTCTTTGGGTTGGAATCAATTCTCCTTTCATTGCTTGTGTCTTTGATGTGCAGGAGAACCACTGCTGGGGTATAAAATACTCTGCCCATCTGGTTTGCAGAGGCTGCTGGTGGATAAGCCCCATGGCAGAGGTGAGGTGAGGCTCTCCACACTGGGCACGTTGCTGTGCATGATGGCCTGTGGCAACAGGTTGGTGATCAGGTACCAAAACTGCTTTCTAGAATTTCAGAAAGTTGCCTATTAAAGAGAGATTTCTCCTCTAAACACATCAGATGGTGCCTGTAAGGTATCTATTGCAAGCCTTGCAGAGGTATCAACAAGTTCTCCCACCCTCCTGGTGAAGGATTTTCTTCTTCATGGGTCTCTAGTTTAATAACTACAGAATGGGAAACCGATGGATGAAAAAAAATCCCAAACCCTGCAAACTAATATAGGTACATTTGAAAGTATTTTCAGTCTTTTTTACTACCCATTGTAGAATCCAATGGGTCATACATCCAATTTTGCATCCTGCAAAATCCATTCTGCAGGTCCTCCTGTGCTTTTATTTTCCCCCACAACAAATGGTGCCAGTCTCTGCTCCTGCCCACTCTTGAATTCAGCTGCTCCTCCTGAAAAGCTGAGACCAGTGCCTAGCTTTGACTGTGTGATTAGACTAAATAAGCCTTGGAGACAAGTGGCTGCTGATCCTAGAGATTTGGTTCCTGTAGCTGGAAGGAGCTGCCAGCTCCTCCAGCATCCATCAAAAGCTGCATAAGGGATGAACCGTGTTCACACAACACGAAGCTCTTGTGACAGGAGGTTTTTAGAAACTCAGAAAACAGAAAACAGGTTGAAAGTGGCCCGCTGGTCCAGCTGGTGAAAATCTCAGTTTCTCGCTGAGATCCTGCTGATGTCCTTTGAAAGGGTGACGGTGCCGAGAGAGGTGGTGCAGATGGCAATCGGGTTTGTTTTGGAACTGGAGCAGCAAACGAGCTGCCACAATCTGATAACAGCCCTGCTGAGCACAGTGCCTGCCTGGGGAGGGAGAGGAGCTGTGCCCATCACGGCACAGCAGCACGGACTGAGGTGCAACATCTTTATTCACCACCAGCATCTGCTCTGGCAACAGCTGCCCAGGGTCGGGAAGCTTAGCCCTTATTGGTGTTTTGTGGTGTCTAAATCTGCAGCTGGCCCAGAGGTTGCAGCTCAGAGCTGTACAACTCCACTAATAATTTTCATTTGTTTGTTTTTGGTTTTGGTTTTTTTGTTTGTTTGTTT